TTAAAATGTGATGTACATATTCGGTTGGTATAGTACATTAAACTGTCCAATAAAATTATTATTAAAATTATGTACTTTCAATCATTATTTTTATATATTTACTAAATTCAACAAATATATACCACATATATTTATATTACTTACTGTCTATGTAGTGTTTTTCTTGAATTATTCGTAATTTGAGACAACATTTTTCAAAAGTTAATAATAATTTTTAAACATAATAACTTTGTACTAGTCGGTATAACCTGAATTTGAATGGTTAGATATATCATATAAAACGAAATTATAATTTACTTTTACAGAAATAGGAAATTGTGTTTACATAAATGCTCCTAATTAATACTTAATACTAATATTATTTATTCAAATTTTAATTATTTATTTTGCATGAATTTTCGACTTTACACGTGTACAAAACATACACTACCGGCCAGAAGTTTGGAATCACTGAGCATTGCAATTTACACAAAAATTTCCTGAAAAATGTCAGCGACTTTGAGAATTTTTTATCGTTCGAATCAATTGATATGAGACAAATTGATAAAAGTAGAATTGAAATAAACTTCAAATCTATAAAAAATTAGCAGCAGATTTAATATCGATGAAAAGTGGCAAGTGATTCCAAACATTGCATAATATTACTATAAACTTCTTATCGTTTTGTTATGATCGATCGCTATTTCTTATACTTCACTTTTTAGTTTTTTTTTATTACACAGTATTAAATTTAATGTTTGACTCAAATGTTAGTACTGCAAAAATAAATTTTATAATGCATATTTATTTAAATCATATTGAGATGTGCTTCTGCACATATTATGTTTAAAAAATGTAGAAAATATACATAAATATTTAGAGCGAGTTTCCTATCTATATGATACGTGGTCTTAAATAAACGCCACGTCTATGATGTACTGTCTATAACCCGTTTGCCGGTTAGTTGAAAGTGTTGAACAAACGGTGAGCTTGAAGATATTTTTACACAGAAAAATATGACTAAGCGTAATTCAATTGCATTATTATGGAATGCCGTGTTATTTTTTGGATTATATTTCCAATCTTACGTCGCTACCAATACTATCGATCCTGACTTGAGTTTTAAAAATGTGGAACAACATATCGATTTGCAATCTCAATTAACGAAGATCACAACCAGACTTGTATTAGAAAATGGAAGTAAGGATCGTCACATTCGAAATTTCTTTTTTTCACTGGAACCTGGGCAAAAGAATAGTCTAAGTTATATAGCAGCTTATAGAGAACCTGTACGGGTTGAGCTAAAATTGACTGAAGCAAAGATGAATGCACATCCAGATAAAACCTTTTATCAAATTGAACTAAAGGGCCCATTGTCTCCTGGAAGAACTATGGCTGTTGAAATTGAATGGATATTAACACATGAACTTGTGCCTCATCCTAAGGAGATTACACAAAAAGAGAAGCAATTAGTAAAATTCATAGGAAATATTTATCTTTACTCTCCATATACTATAACAAAGCAAACAACCACTGTATCTTTACCATCACGCAATATTGAAAGCTATACTAAATTTAAACCTGTTTCACAAAGTGATTCAGTAATCACATATGGTCCATATGAAAAGCTTTCTTCATTTTCTTATGAAGAATTAAATATACATTTTGAAAACAACAATAAATTCCTCACTGTAACCAGACTTGAAAGGAGTATTGAAATATCACATTGGGGTAATATAGCAGTAGAAGAACACATTGATCTATTACACACGGGGGCATTATTAAAAGGCTCATTTTCACGCTATGAATTTGCCAGAGAGCCAAAATCAGGACAGGCTAGTATTCAAAGCTTCGATACCATATTACCAGCAGCTGCATCTGATATTTACTATAGAGATGAAATTGGTAACATTTCCACATCACATACACGTATTAAAAAAGACTCAGTAGAGTTAAATCTTCGCCCAAGGTTTCCACTTTTCGGTGGTTGGAAAACTAAATACATAGTTGGTTATAATGTACCTAGTTATGAGTATCTATTCCATTCTGGAGACCAATATACTTTAGAAATGAGATTATTAGATCATGTTTTTGATGACATGGTGGTAGATGAATTGGTTGTAAAAATTATCTTGCCAGAAGGTTCTAAGAATATTGAACTGAGCCTTCCATACTCTGCAACACGTTTGCCAGATTCTCTTCACTACACATACTTAGATACTACTGGTCGTCCAGTAATTTCTGTTACTAAAAAAAATCTAGTTGAAAATCACATTCAGAATTTTAAATTGAAATATACATTCCCACGTATATTAATGTTACAAGAACCATTGCTTGTAGCTGCAGCATTATATTTACTATTCTTACTAGTAATAACATATGTGAGACTTGATTTTTCAATTGATAAAGATGAGGTTTCAGAAAGTAAATTAAGAATTGCTGGACAGTGTGAAAAGATCTTGGCTGCTCAAGATCGTAGAGTAACATCTTATAATGAACTAGATGACCAATTGGCATACCTCAAAGCAAATAAAGAAGCTAATGCATTCTTATCTGTTGCAAAAGGTATTAACCAAGAATACAAAAGTGCAACAAGTACCATTGCTGAAATTGCACAACGTTTGAAAGGAGAATCAGGAGATGTATATGAGCGCGTTCAAGAATTACAAAAATATGATAGAACTTTGAAAGAATTGTATAATCAACAACAAGCATTGTATGTAGATAAACTAGTACCAGGCAAGATAGGACGTCAGCAGTTTGTAGAAGCAGAAGCAGCTATTACAAAGAAGAAAGAAGAATGTGTTGAGAAGATAAATTCTATTGTAAAGTCTTTACAGTAATAAAACTCTTATAAACACTTTCTTACGAAGAATGAGAATAAGAGACTCAATAAAAGTAATTTAAACAATAAGTTAAACATCTTTAAATAATAAGTTGAAAAAGCCTTTCCTCTACAATAAATTAAGATTTTGTAATAAATAAATAGATGTAAATTGTACATTTTGTGTTTAGCATTTATTCAATTATAACATAATAATTGCTCCTTTTAAGCTAGTATTTCGAAGTATTATGTATATGTACCAATACCGTACGTGAAAGTATATATTTAACCTACAGAATGCAAAATAATATCCAGTAAATTTAGTGCAATTTATATTAATTTCGAAAATACGTGATTGTAATTAATTTGGTTGCAAGAAGTAAACGAACTTAAAGCATAACTGCGGTTTTCATGGAACGTCAAATATCCACTAAACTCGAGTGTCAGTATACAACACCGGTTAAATAAGACACCTGCTAACCTTTCAGACAGTACCGTGTCTGAGAAAACTGTCATTTCACTAATAGGTTTAATGCTCGGAGTTAGAATGAATAATTTAAGAAAATTTATAGGTAATAAAATTGTTTATTTGGTGATTGTACTAACATTTTAATAGTCATTATTTTTGTACGAGCAACAGAGTATTTTCTTCTTTTCTTATAATATTTACGGAAAAGGTTATAAAGTTAATAAATAATACATTCTACCGTTGTTAATTTTAATATAGACATCGGGGCCAATTTGACAGATCCTATGTATCAAGGAATTTATTATGGAATAAAAAAACATCAGCCGGATTTGGATAAAGTTTTAGAACGAAGTTGGAACAATAATCTTTCAAAAATTATAATCACTGCCGGTAATATAGCAGAAAGCGAACATGCTCTTGAAATAGCACGAACAGATGGTAAGATGCTTTTATATAAATATTAAAAGAAAGCATTTGTCAAATTAGATACAAGTTAGTGTAAGAAATGAAACATTGTTACTGTCGCATCTCTCTATCACAGGCAGCTGTAGTTTATAATTTTCAAGTTCTATTTTTTCATAGAGATATTAATGTTTTGTAAAGAAGAACAATGATTTTGGTACAATTAACATTTTATACACCTTGCAGGCCTTCAACTGTGAGGGTAAAGACATTATTATTATGTACAACTATTGTTTATTTGTTATTATTAGATTGAAATGCAATCATTGCATATGAAGAAACCGCTGAAAGAGAGATGCAATGGTTGCTGTGATTCTATTCTCTATCCGGAACAACAAAATGCATGTCAATGGAAATATCTAGGTACCTATTATCTCATCATATGTTCCATTTTATAGTGTTTCTTCATATATTGACTATTATATATATTTCAGAACGATTATTTTCAACAGTTGGTTGTCATCCAACACGTTGTCATGAATTTGAAAGCTGTGGTGATCCAGAAGAATACCTCAAATCATTATCAGACCTAGCATTAAAGAATAAAGATAAAATTGTTGCTATTGGTGAAATGGGATTGGACTACAACAGACTACAATTTTGCTCAAAAGATGTTCAGAAAAAGTATTTTGAAATGCAATTATCTTTGTGCTCTACCTTAAAATTACCAATGTTTCTACATTGCCGCAATGCTAGTGAAGATTTTGTAAGAATTTTAAGAAAACATAAAGATATATTAACAGCTGGTGTTGTGCACTCCTTTGATGGTAATCCAGAAGAAGCTAATTCTATTTTACAAATGGGATTGTATATTGGTATTAATGGATGGTATGTCAAAGAAATCACCTTCATATACCATGCGAAATTCTGATTTGATCTCGTTTACAGTTCTCTTAAGACAGAAGAAAATCTTTTTGCTGTTACAACTATACCATTAGACAGATTAATGATTGAAACTGATTGTCCATGGTGTGAAATAAGGACTTCTCATGCTTCTGCAAAAGATGTTATTACCACTTTCCCATCCATTAAAAAAGAAAATTGGCAACCTGATCGAATGGTTAAAGGGAGAAATGAACCATGCACTATAGTGTAAATATTAATCAAGTTAATTTTGCAGTTATTGAATTATGTTTATATTACATGCTTGTTAAAATTATTCTGTTTCTTTTTACAGCCAAATTTTGGAAGTACTGGCGCGAATTAGAGATGAAGAAGAAGAATATTTGTGCAACCAAATATACAAAAATACAATGAAAGTCTTTTTTCCTCACGAGCTTTAACACATTAATCGAGACTGAGATACTACTTTGTAATCAGTGTGCGTTTTAGCATTGCACACTCACATATGTAATCAAGGAAGAAAGCTGTGAAACTATGTAATGCAAAGAAGAAAAATAATTTCTACTAAATTCATTTCTAAAAAGGAAGGAAATGAAAAGACTCATTTTTACGTGCATAGTTGTATGGATGTGACAGGTGTCACATTCCACCGATTTCTTTCCATATAAAACTTTAATACTTTTTTGTTAAAATTATCATTGTCACCATAATCATCGCCATTAGTTGCACTATTAGCGCTATTATAATTA